CGAGGGAACCAATTAATATTGATTTTATTCAACTTATTGAGTATTTTTCAAGGGACCAGGAAAAAATGTTCACTTTATCGAGAGATTCAAATTTACGAGTTTCAAATTATCAAAATATATCTATTATTTTTCAATAAGTTTATTGAGAATTGTTTTAACAAATGTTCGTTAGACAAACCTTTACTCGGGTAAAACCCGGGCGAAGCCGGGTACATACGCTAGTAATAATGAATGAGTTTTAAAAAAATTGTAAAAAAAAAATAAATACACCGGCCGGGAATCGAACCCGGGCCGCCCGCGTGGCAGGCGAGCATTCTACCACTGAACCACCGATGCTTATAATAAATGGCCATATTTGGGTATTTATTCCATTCACAAAAGCAAACGGTGACAGAATTGTTGATTGATTGTTGATTATAAGACTCTGATACTTGTATATTTTAATATGTAGGGGGTTTAATGATAATCGAAGATATTCATCAACTAATGCACCAGTTTTATGGTATGGCTAGTTAGTTAGTCCTCTCCCCTGTCATGCTAATTAATTCTTTCATTTTAAGAATTATGAATGCCGGTCTCAATCAACCTCTATCTTTACGATTCTAAATAATATAAATTATGAATAACAGCTAACACTTCCTTTATATCATGTTATCCCATGAAGATGATCCAATTACAAGTATCACCCCTTCAAGTACATTTGTACATGGAACCTCATCCGTTAACAAATGGCTAGACCTCAACCATCTTCTCTTGCAAGAAAAAGAAGAAAGGATTTTTTGGCTATAACTCACAGTCTTGCATTTTCTTCATAACTTTATTTTTTCTTGTCCCAGGTCTGGAGTCTAGACCAGATCCTGAAGGCCTCTTTATCGCCTCGATGACCACAGCTGGGTAGATGTCTGTTCGGCAATGCGCGATGCATTGCATGATGTGTTCTGGGATCGCTGGAGAATCCTGACATTTGGTGCAATTCGGAAAGGTTTTGGATCCATTTGTGAAAATCATTGGACGTAGATGGCCTGTTCTAAGACGGTAAAGCATGGTGAAGTCTGATCTGTGTAGTTGTGAGTTCAGGAGGGGAGTTTTCCCATCGAACCAGTGGATGTTTTGTTTTGCCAATCTTGATTAAATTTGATTTTCAGTCTGTTAAAGTGATCATTTGCTGTTGGAAGGGTTGAGGATATTTTTGGGTTATTTTCTTTAAATGCTCCTGCTTTAACCAGTGGGTCAGCCCTTGCATTGCCAGGTACATGTGATGGGATCCATTGGAAGGTTATGGAGCTTTCAGGATTGAGGTCATTCATAGCCTTTGCTATATTTTTAAGCAGGGCATCATGGCTATTGTAACAGTGAACCGAGACTGAGATACCCCTAATCTATAGCTCTTAATTTAATTTAATCCTAATATTCGATTTTAAAAAAATCCCTTGAGTCAAAATTAAAATAAAAAAATTAGACGCCTCCAGGGAAAAGTTTCTTTTTAAAATATATTTTTTATATACAAATCTCTCAAGCGCTATCAGGCAATAAAACCCTTATTATTTTATTGGCGTTTTAATGTAAAATATTCTCTCCCGTAGAAGGGCTTTCTTGGCCGAAAGCTTGAGAGATTTATAAATAAAAAATGTTTAAAAATAAACTTTTCCCTGGAGGCTTCATGTCTACATCAAGTTAATGGTTAAATACCCATAATTAATTCACCATAAACGCGTATAGCTTTAGGCAGATAAAGACAGGATACAAACTACAAGGAAGAAGTTTGTAGACCTTGATGGCGTTGAAGTACTGCCACACCCTACGTACAACCCCCGCCCCGTTTACACATGCATTTCGGGGGTGTCGAGACTGTAGATGAGGTTGGAACTGCCTGTGTTCGCCTCCAAGTACCTTGGACAAATCAGGTTGCTTGTAGTTGATGGTAAACCATCTAGCAAGGCATCAGGCATGCTGGAGTCTGGCTTGGTACTGGTGGAGTCAAGTCAAGCACCATATGTCAGTGGCTTGACGACAGGAAGGGGTGTCTGAGTCCATCTTTGACTCTGGCTTGGGTTCAAGTCAAATACAATGGGACATTGTGGCTCGACCACCAGGAAGGGGTGTCTGAGTCCATCTAAGACTAGCTTGGTAGGGCCAGGTCATCCACCACAGGTCAGGTAGCTTGACCACAGGGAAGAGGCGTCTAAGTCCATCTTGGACTCTCGTTCATTGTTGTCAAGGCTGAAGGTGACCTCAGGCTCCATCTCTATACTTCAAAATCACTAGAGGTTTGCAGCTTTGGTGGGCAAAGGTGAGACATGGTTAGGTTGGATGGGGTTCTGGTTGATTTTGGCATACTGTGGTTACGAGGTGTCCTAACACCAAGAGGAAAATTTCCAGAGTAGCAAAATATAAATTATATAAATCTATATATATATCAAATTAAATGTCTGCCTGTCTGTATATTTGTACTCTATAGATTCAAAAACCATACATCCAATCGCCGTGAAATTTTGGGATATTATTAGGTATATCCCGGGAAGGTTTTTGAAAAATAATTTCTTGAATATCTTGTATATCCTTAGAGTTATTTGCAGATTTGTAGATTTAACTCGCAAGCAGCGCCCCCATTGCTACAGAGATAGGCTTAGGTTTTGGCAGGAAGTCTGCTCCAAGCCTGATGACCTTGGGTCTTTCAGGGCTAATATATTAAGTAAAACCAACTCAAATATTAGTGCTTTATAATGGCTATAAACTCTTGGCATTTCAATATTAATATATATTTAAAGAAAATATTGTAACGTTTTTGTGTTAAATTGTTGTAATGTTAAAATATATTTTTACATTGTTAATTTAATTTGTCATTGTTTTATAATAATGAAGATGCAAATATCATTGTTGTTGTTGTGGAAATATCTTTATTTACGAAGCTGCTAACCAGAATGAATGATTTTTGAGCCAATTGTTGTTGTTGTGAGAAATTATGTTTTTACGGGCTACTAACCAAAAGTTATGATTTTCGAGCCCAAACTCGATGTCAGGTGGCAAGGGACCCTAGGATCTGGCGGCAGGAGATGTCTCGCAGGGGTGGTGGAAACGTTGGGCAAGCAGGGGAACAGCGCCAGGATGCAGTGAGGCGGGTGCCTTGAATAGGCCAGGAATCCAGGAGAAGTGGCAGATGGAATTGGAGGCAGAAGGTCCTTGAAGCCTAGAACTTGAGGGCCCGAGACTTCTGGATGAGGCAGCTTGAGGCTCTCGCCTCGTGCTTGTCAGGAAGGCCCTTGGAGCAGCAGTTGGAAATTTGGAGGTGCGCTGGTCAGCAATGGATGGGCAGGTGCGGCCTTTATGGCCGTCTTCACCGCAGTGGAAGCACTTTGGAGCTCTGGTGCATTGGGCAGAGTTGTGGCCGAAGCCACAACAGCGGAAGCAGACGCGGGCGCGGATGGACTCCTCGAAGTTGAGGATTACTCCATCCACCACGATCCTCCCGCGAACGCCCAGGGCTCTAAAGGTCTTGAGGTCCACCTCGATGAAGGCGGTGCAGGTCCCGTTTCTGGGTGCAGAACGGTGCGCCACGCGCACCACCTTGTCCCCAGGAAGCTTTCTAACAGCAGCGGTTTCCAGGAAGGTCTCCTCAATGGTGGAGTTGGATGTCTCCTCATCCACTTTGAAGAGGCAGATTCGCGGCAGGATCTCCTTCTGCTGGCGGACCTTCATTCCATCCAGCTTGTTGGCCAGGGAGGTTGTAACCTTAGGGATGGTGTCAGGATTGCTGGAATGGAGGACCAGCTTCTCCTTGGTGCGCAGGGAGGCCCAAACGTCTTGGGGGAGAGTGTGAGCAGCGCGGACTGTTGTTGTTGTTTATTATCGTTTGTTTATATAAAAAATTTCATTGTATGTGATGATGATAACAAAATAAATTTTTAAATTAATATACATAATTCATTGAGAAAAAAAAGAAATAATTAATTATAAAATTCACAAACGAGACAATATCTTATTTTAAATTTAATAAAGGTTTAAAAAAAATATGTTTCAGAAATATATTTAAATGCATATAACAATATTTATATACGTTTATAAATCTATATATAGGTGGATTGAATGTTTTCTAGAATGGTTTTAACAAATGTTCGTTAGGCAAACTTTTACTTCGGTAAAAACCGGTCGAAGCCGGGAACATATATATATATGTTGGTCGGCTATGCACGCCCTCAATATGTAACTAATCTCGCTGAAATTTGAACATGACAGAGAGTTAAATCTGGAAAGTGTTTTGTCGCGCTTTAACCAAGAAAAATTATAATTAACCATGTACTGAGAAACAATATTTTTTTAGTCAGAAATGATGATGACAATATTGCTGTATCATGCTTGATTTACATTTTAAAAAATTCTTTAGGGATACATTCACTAAAGCAGACCACGGGCGAATCCAGATAATAATTTTTAGTAGGCAAGAACAAAATTCTACCAGCGAAACATTCACTCGAGCAGAAGACACACGAAGCCAGGTCATCTCTATATATTAAATATCTTTTCTCGACCTTTTGGCTAAGATCATGTAGTATATCTCTAGATATATAGATGGAAAATCTGCCGGGAGGAAATTAATCCATGGAAGCAATGGTCGCCTCTCCCGTCAAAATAAACGTCAGAAACTGACGCCATCTATTGACCGTCGCCGCAACTAGCGGCATCGGGTCGGTGACAAAGCCACAACACCAACTTTGGCAAACTGATAAGCGTCCACCTAGAGACCATGGTTTCGGGCTAATGGCCCTCGTCAGTCTAGGGCGGACTTTATTCCATGAGATCCACACGGGATCTAATGGAATCCTCACAATCTACCAAAGAGGTGTTTTGCTGGCAATGTGGCTGGGCCAAATCTATTGGAAAAACATAGATGGAAAATTTGCCGAAAGGAAATTAATCCATGGAAGCAATGGTTGCCTCTCCCGTCAAAATAATCGTCAGAAACTGACGCCATCTATTTTCCATTTTACATCTATGTTTTTCCAATAGATTTGGCTTACCTACATTGCCAGCAAAAACACCTCTTTGGTAGATTGTGAGGATTCCATAAGATCCCGTGTGGATCTCATGGAATAAAGTCCGCCCTAGACTGACGAGGGCCATTAGCCCGAAACCATGGTCTCTAGGTGGACGCTTATCAGTTTGCCAAAGTTGGTGTTGTGGCTTTGTCACCGACCCGATCCCGCTAGTTGCGGCGACGGTCAATAGATGGCGTCAGTTTCTGACGTTTATTTTGACGGGAGAGGCGACCATTGCTTCCATATATATATATATATGTAGTATATTTTGAGCTAAATAGATCACAACCTTCTTATAATATTTATCATAACCCCATCTCTATATAAAAATATGTATCGACCTTGTAACAAAGTGACAAATAAACAAAGAGGTAAAGGTAGTCTAGACGACGACAAAGGCCAGACGAACAGGTGTTTATGATAATGAGTTCAATCACCCCGTCAACAGGTGGCCAGACGTGATAAAACAACCCGGCGCTTGACAGGTGGCATGATTATGGGAGCCAATCAGAACTCTCCGCCATATGCGGGCAGCCAATATAAAAGAGCCCAGAAATGGGACAAAGTTAGTTGTTCAGTTATTGTTTTCAGAGCGACGCCGTCATACGGTCGGGTCTCTCACCCCTATCCGCGATGTAGGCATCCGTGACGCCTGTGGTTCGACTGCCTTCGTCCATGGTCTACCTCTACCTTCTTGGAGTTACCATCTAGACCTGCCTCTGTCTCTTGCTGTCCCAGTGCGGGAATCCCATCACTCACCCACTACCACGACTGCCCAGTACATTTCACATCGGGGATTACTACATATATATATATATCTATATCTCTTTTTAGAAATCTATTCAGTAGAGAGAGTGGATATGTTTGCTAGAAAAATAAATTTTATATATTATATAAATATATATAATGTAATGAATATTATTATCATTATTATCATAATATTCTATGTTCCTGAAAATTATTTTCAATAATATTCGTTAGGCAAACTTTCACTCAGATAAAACCCAGGCGAAGCCAGGTACATCCGCTATTGTCAAAATAAGAGAGAGATATATTTATAACCCAGGTTCCTGGAGCGAATCAAAATAAATAATGTTATGATGCATCCCAGCGCGCCATCTGTATGAATATTCGAAACTATTATAGACGCGTATGATTTTTTTGAAATTAAACAAATTCTACTGTCCTTACCGCAATAGAAAAATTAAAGGGAGGGGCTCATCAGTGGTGAACCCTCCAGCGGTTTCGCCAGTTTAATTTACCATACCGCTGTTATATTGAAATTTCCAAAAACGCAATATAACAGCGGTATGGCAAATTAAACTGGCGAAACTTCTGGGAGAGTTCACCACATTTGAGCCAGGCCCTCCCTTTAATTTTTCCATTGCAGTAAGGGCAGTAGAATTTGTTTAATTTCAAAAAAAGCATACGCGTCTATAATAGTTTCGACATACGCACGCACCAACGACCGCAAGTCTCTCTTATGCCAACACATCACAGAATTTCGCCACTCGTTCAATTTGGACAGCGCTGTATGCGTTTACAAGGGCTTCGGGAACAAGTATCAGCGCCTAGTCCTTGAATCTTTGGTCTCGCACTGCACGCCCAGTTTTAACCGAAAAATCGACCTCCCACCCCAATTTTCCGAGTTTTACCTCGCCAATCCCCCCAGCTGTAATATTTACCTACTGTGTTCGAATAAATAAGCTTGAGGGATGAGTCTCTTTTAATTACATTTATTTCAAGCTTTCGGGCTCAACCGCCCTTCGACAGGACAAATTATATTAGCTACTAAAGTTTTCAAATCTAATCTATATAAACATTTGAGAGCAAGCCTCGTATTACACTCGAGACACAGGCGTCTCTCAAATGTTTATATAGATTAGATTTGAAAACTTTAGTAGCTAATATAATTTGTCCTGTCGAAGGGCGGTTGAGCCCGAAAGCTTGAAATAAATGTAATTAAAAGAGACTCATCCCTCAAGCTTATTTATTCGAACATAATATTATGGGATTACCTATTAATTTACCTACTGTATTGGGCTATCTTTCATATCCATAGTTTTAAAATATTTCCCAGTTGTAACTTGAAGAAGGGCATTCTTGCCTGAAAGCTTGTGCTTTACCATTAAAAGAAAATCACCACTTTTATTCGCCTCCATTTCAAATAAAATAAATAATCTATACATAAAATATAAAAATATTTTGCTAAAATATTTATGCAAAATTATAGTTATAGAAATGTTTTACTCTGTATCACAATAAGAGGTAACTCAAAATTTGAGTTTTACTTTACCTTGTTTACGTTTATTTTGTAGTGTTGATTTAACTTTAAATTTTGTACTCATAAAAAATAAAAAACAATTTATTTTTCACCAGAGTTTGCGATTAGATTAAAAGGTTAGATTGATTGTGACACATGAATGTTATTTTTAAACGTGTTTTACTTGTCAGAAATATTTAATATTTGCAATATTCTAATTTAGATTTACACTAAATATGTTAATTGATCGTCGGCTACCATGGAGATAACCTTGTGGCGACTACACTTTGCTAAATTAAAATAAAAGATGTTTAGATGTTACCATCTTCAGACACAAGTACTGAATACATTCAGTAATTTTGTCTTAATAAGGTAACAATGCTGTTACTGAAACATCACACATAATTCGTTTATTTTTATTTGGTCTTGCATTTTTGGTATTTTTAAAATTGTCCTTGCCTTTTAGAAAATGATGCAAATTTCCTATTTTTTTTTATTTATCATTTTAAAAAGTGCATTCTTTTGTAAAAATATCCAATTTCCCACACTTTTCCAAAACTGCCAACAATAACCTAATAAAAAATTCATCCAAGTCCGTGTATTTCAGTATTGCAAATTTATTACATTTATAAAAGTTTCTTAACTATTTAGAGATGTAAGTGCCGGATTAGGTGCCCTAAAAAATGTTTAATCTGGCTGTTTCTTCTTGAACAGTCGAGAGTTTTTTTTTTTTTTTTGCTTATCCCTAGTACACGTGGTACAGGCAATGATAATCATGGTGGGTAGTTAGCGACTGCTTTTTACTGTAAGCGCACCACATGTCTACACATGTGAAAGCAGTTCGACTTTGCACTTACAAATGTGCCAGAGCCCCGTTTGGTTACTTGCACTCGCTGGTGGGGTACAGTCGAGAGTGAAGGGGAGAAAGTGAAATTTTCAGGTTGCGAGGACCATTTTCCTTAACACTTTGAAGACCAACGCCGTTTTTATACGTCATAAGCTATTAAGCCTAGCGGACCAACCCCGTTTTTATACGTCGCGGCACTTTAAAAAATCAATAGAAAATCATAGAACGCAATACGTCAAGAAATCTCTTCGGCAAATCATCGGCCTATCATGAATAGTTACAAAAATGATCACTAGATGTCAGGACGATACTGTTGGCAGGCAAAAAAATTAGTCATCTGTTGCTCAATCTCATTGGCTAGCTCGCTGACAAACTGATAACAGGCAAGTTTGTTTTTGTTATCTCTAATCTCTTTTCGCTCGTTTTTTTCTAAGCTATTCTGCCTCTAATTTCATAACGTTATTGAAATGAATCCTTTGGATCAACCTAGCACTTCAAAAGGTATGGGATCAGAAGTTCATTTAGATTAAGACATTCAAGATATTCTTGAATATCTTTACGATTCTGGCTCAGAAATTGATGATGAAGTGAAGGATCCTGATTACGAAAATTCAGCCTCCGATGAATTAGAATTTGAGGAGGAAGAAAGGGAAGAAATTCCTGCTAAACGGCCGCGATTAGAAGTAGCTCCAGTTCGCATGCTGACGACATGTCGGGACACGTCCACTGCCGCCGCTGGCTCCAATGTTGCCGCCGGCACCTGGAGGAAAGATGATCCCTCGCCCCCAACTCCTCCCCCTTTCACCGCCCGCCCTGGACTAAATTTAGTGGGGGATGTTTCCTCACCATTTGATGCGTTCAGTCTCTTCTTTACAGAGAATATTTTCAAAAGCATCAAAGAGGAAACAAACCGATATGCCAGGAGTATTATTGATCGGGAGTCCAAGAAGGGTCCTCTCAAGCCTCATGGCATGCTGGCTAAGTGGAAGGCTGTGTCAGTGGCACAGATAAAGCTCTTTTTCTGTGTCATCATACACATGTCTTTGGTGAAGAAGCCTGGGATGAAAGACTACTGGTCTACTCACGGATTCCTGAAGAATGCCTTTTGCCAGTCCATAAATATGCCAAGGACACTATTTATGAGAATTTTGTCAATGCTACATTTGAATGACAATTCAAAATACATTGAATATGGAAAACCAGGGCATGACAGACTCTTCAAAATAAGACCAGTTTTGGAATCCCTCATATATTCTTTTGGGAATGCCTACACTCCTCAGCAAAATCTCACTATTGATGAGGCGATGTGTCCATTCAGAGGACGTGTGGGTTTTCGAGTGTATATAAAAGGAAAACCTCATAAATATGGCATCAAGATATTCCAGATTTGTGAAGCTGTATCTGGATACGCTTACAATCTTGATATCTACACTGGCAAGGATCCTGAGCAGCCAGAGCACAACTCCATTCCGAACCTCGTGGACAGGCTGGCAAAGAGGTTTTATGGACAAGGCTATCATATATATTTTGATAGGTGGTTTTCCTCTCCTGAGTTATTTGATAAACTTTGGGAAAAAAAGACCCTAGCTGTTGGCACAGTTATGCCTTCCAGGAAAACGATGCCAAAAACCGAATTTTCCCAAAAACTAAAGAGAGGAGAGATTATAAAGATGAGAAGAAAGCATCTTTTAGCCATCAAATGGAAAGATGTTAGAGATGTTTTCATGCTCTCCACTGTCCATGAAGGTAAAATGATGCCAGTCAAGCCCAAAACCCCAACCAGAGAAGAGTTGTTCAAGCCTGATGCTGTCATCGATTACAACAAGGGGAAGGTAGGAGTGGACCGGAGCGATCAGATGATGGCATATTATTCTTTTAGCAGGAAAACATTGAAATGGTGGAAAAAAATATTCTTCCATCTTTTTTCACTTTGTTTTGTAAATGGCAACATCATTTACAATAAAGCAAATCCTGATAAAAAAAATAAGTCTGAAGGACTTCTATCTGGCTGTCGGTGGGGAGTTGCTCAATCAGGCAAGCATTGAACACTCTGAAAAAGAAACAACTTCGAAAACTGATGTTGCCAGGCTACTTGGGAAGCACTACTGCTATAAAATAGCCCCAGAAAGTGGAAAAGCAGTGCAAAGAAGGTGCAAAGTTTGTGCAGATAGTGCAAAGCACAAGACTGGGAAGGCAGCCCGGAAGGACACCAGATTTGAGTGCAAACAATGCAAGATTCCACTTTGCGTTGGAGAGTGCTTCGAAAAGTACCATGCAGAAATGAAGTACTGGGAATAACAATGTATATAAATGTAAAAATTTTAATAATTTCCTCTGATTATTTTTTTTACAAACAGTGGCGTTTTTTTGGAAGTTTGCATTTTTTTAGTTCTTTTTTTATTTTTTTATTTTGAAAAAGTGCCAATAAACATATATTTTTTTATTGCATTTTTGTGTTTTATAGACATATTTTGATACAAGCATCAAATTTCACTGTTCAAGGTAATATATTTTTATAAATATGATTTTTTAAAAAAATCAAGTTTTATCCTGGTTCACAGGGCTATTTGGGTTGTGAAACCAATGTTCCTCAAAGTGTTAATTCACACTAATCATTAGATTTTTTTTTTCATTTTTTTAGATACCAAAGCCCAGTTTGGTTACTTTGCACTCACTGGAGGGGTTGGACTTTTTTAGAATCTGGGGCCATTGGGGAATTTTTTTTTCAGAACAAAGTGCCCAAAGCTGGATTCGATGATCCCCGGTTTTTAAAAATCAACAGTTTAGACCACTCCTCCAAAACAGCACTCTATTCATTAGATGTGTTTGTGAAATTGATCTTATATTTCAGATTCTTTTTACCAGCATTTTCAATTTTGCTATTTGCAGTTTATCTCCATTGTGCTGAAAGAAAATGCATAACTATAAGTTTTAAAACAGTTGAGGGCTCTATTCATTCTTGAGTAAACCCCACTCGAACAATACCCGGGCGAAGCCGGGTCCAGTCGGCTAGTATATAAATAAAATATAATACACCCATACCTCGCTTTGCGCAAATTGAAACGACGCAAAGTGAAAATATGTGAAGGCGCAATCAAAGGTGTTGCCATTTTTTAGGGAAATAAAAAAATTATAAAGACTTGAATCCAAAACAACGCAACTTTGAAAATCTAACGACGCACAGTGAAAATCAGGAAAAAATAAGCAGCGACGCAACTTTGAAAAAAACGCAAAACGACGCAAAGCGAGATATTGGTGTAAATACTTTGCTACAATATTAGTCTTAATAAAATAAATGTGTGTGATGTATTTCATTAGTTAAAAAATATATATATTTAATTTGAACCCAATTCACACAAATTAGGTTTCACTAAATTCTTCCGTTTTTATTCCAATAAATTTAATGTTTATAAAATAATGATCCATCTATATTTAAGAAATCTTCTTCTTTCTTATCTCCACTCAATCATATCAGGGTATCAAGCTTGTAGAGCTTGTTGATGGTGTCTGCTGGGGATGTGTCTTCTTCTTTCTTATCTCCACTCAATCATATCAGGGTATCAAGCTTGTAGAGCTTGTTGATGGTGTCTGCTGGGAATGTGTCTTCTTCTTTCTTATCTCCACTGAATCATATCAGGGTATCAAGCTTGTAAAGCTTGTTGATGGTGTCTGCTGGGGAAGAGTAGAGCTCATCAATGGATGAGTCAATACAGTCAATAATGTGTTTTGGGGTTGCAGGTTGACACTTAGTACATAGTGGGAAAACCCTGCCACTATTCTGGAAAGTCATTGTCCGTAGATGACCAGACTTAAGTCTGGAAATCAAAGACTGTTGTTCTTTTGGGAGGACAACTGGTGCTTGTCCCTCCTGCTCTGTACCAGTCATGTGCAGCATGTATTTAAGAAGTGAAAATATAAAGCTCAAATTTTTATTTTCAAAATGCACTTCTTACTATTATCAGTCATGAAGGTTTTGTCAATACAAATGAAATTCTTAGATGCTTTTTATTGTTTGGAATTCCAAATTTTTTCCGTCCAGATTTTTATAATACCTAATTTATCACTGATCGTGGAAATTTTGGGAAATTTTTGGCAACTATCGGCGCGGTGAAGGGATGTTTCTGTGGAGGAGAAATTCAAGACGCGAAACATCTACTTCTGGAATGTCCAATTTTTCCGGGATTATAGGGAAATAAAATTTGGTGGCATCGGACAGCTACATGAATCCATAGATTAGAAAAGAACATATAAAAATTTGAATCAATTTTGTAGATATTTCCAGATTATTATGGGTTATATTAAAGATGTAAAAATTATTTGGAAAGTTGTGGTTAATAAAAAAAAAACCTTAAAGGGACAACTTAACACCTTCTTTCTTATCTCCACTCTCATCATATTAGGGTATCAAGTTGTGACCCTTGATGGTGTCTGTTTGACAACCATCATGACTGGGTGAAGTAGAATGCATCTGCCTTTGTCATTAAGACTGGCAGGCCGACTTAGCTCCAAAAGAAATGGCTGCCTCTGACATGAGGAACAGATGCCATGTTCAGCCGCTCCTAACATGGAGTACAAACGCTGCTCATCCTGTATCCCTGGATCAGGAATCCTTACAGGGTACTATCAGCCGGGCCAGCTGAGCCCAGGTTTTTAGCGAGCTTGTTACTGCTCCCCTCCTCCTTTTTCATCCGGGCTTGGGACCGGCAAAGGCGGGGTTTCACTTTTAACACCTTAATAAAGAGGATGATTTTCAAAGGATAAAAGTGAATTTTTTGCTCTGTTAGAATTTTGTTCCTGCATACTAAAAATGAACTGCCTCCACCCGTGGTCTGCTTTATGGAATTTTTCCCAAAATAATTTTGTATCTGATAATCAAGCATGATACAGCAATATTGCCATCATCATTTTCTGACTAAAAAAACTTTTTTTACTCAGTACTTGTTCAATTGATTCATCCATTGATGAGCTCTATTCTTCCCCGGCAGACACCATCAACAAGCCTTACAAGCTTGATGCCTTAATATGATTGAATGGAGATAAGAAAGAAGAAAACTTGTTCAATTTTTTCTCAGCAATTTTTCAAAGGAACTGACTGTCCAGATGGCCACAGCATCCTCCAAGAAGAAAAAGAAGGGAGCAGGAAAGAAGAGTGTAACTCCTGGGGCCAGTCCCCAGCTGAAGTCCAAAAACAGCTGGGAGCTTGGAAAGTGTGTCACCTGTGACATAATCTTCCTGCAGAGGGATATAGATTCTCACAGTCGGGTCCATGAAGATTCCATTCTCCCGGACCACTGCTACATACGGGATCACACTCTGCATACCTCCGTGGAGAACCTTACTCAGCCCCGAGGTGAGTTGTCTTTCTTATCTCCACATATTAGGGTGTAAAGCAGGAGGGACAAGTTCTGTCCTCCCAAGAGAACAACAGTCTTTGATTTCCAGACTTAAGTCTGGTCATCTACGGACAATGACTTTCCAGAATGGTTGCAAGGTTTTCCCACTATGTACCAAGTGTCAACCTGCAACCCCAAAACACATTATTGACTGTTTTGACTCATCCATTGATGAGCTGGTTTCAGGCTAATGGCCCTCGTCAGCCTAGGGGGAACTTTTTTCCATGAGATCCACACGGGATCTAATGGAATCTTCACAATCTACTAAAGAGGTGTTTTCCTGGCAAGGTGGCTGGGCCAAATCTTTGGCCAGAATATAGATGGCGTCAGATTTTGACGTTTATTTTGATATTTATATTGAGGAATAATTGCAATGACAATTAAAAAAGGTATACACTGATCAAATTAATTGCAAAAAGTTTCTTTAATATAAAATATAAATCGGCTAGCTTTCAAGCTTTAGCTCATCATCAGGCCAAGTAATTTCGCAAATTACAACAGTATATATAGAGGTGTGGTAGGTGTTTTTTACATATATACAATTGAAATTATCTCTGAGAATTTATATATAATATAATAAAAATTTTGATAGGAGTATTTTGATAGTTTATTTTGATAGGAGAGGCGCCTTATACTTCTATGGATCAATTTCCTCCCGGCAAATTTTCCATCTGAGTAAAAATAGTTTTTTTTTTTAATCAGAAAATGAAGATGACAATATTGCTGTATCATGCTTGATTATCAGATACAAAATTATTTCGGGGGAAAAATTCCATAAAGCAGGACACGGGTAAAGCCAGTTCATTTTTAGTATGCAGGAACAAAATTCTAGCAGAGCAAAACATTCACTCGAGCAGAAGACATGAAGCCAGAACATCTCTATATATAAGATTCTCAGTCTTTTGGCAGAGATCATAGTATTATATACAGTTTCTTCAACCTCCAAGGGATCAGAGCTTTTGGTTGAATTAAAGGCTGTGTTGATTAAAATAAGAGAAAATGCAAAGTATCTACAGTGAGGTATTGTACCACAGGGGTATTTAAATTGGTTCAGATACTTAAGAGAAAATCCACCATGCAAAACTACCATTTTTACTATGTAACAACTCTCTGGTAAAAGGACACCTCTCCCTAAAGGACACTTTAACTCTGCCATTCGGTATTGTCCTTTACAGGGAGGTTCTACTGTAGCAACTCTCCGGTAAGAGGACACCTCTACAATTAGGTGTTGTCCTTTACAGGGAGGTTCTACTGTAGCAACTCTCCGGTAAGAGGACACCTCTCCCTAAAGGTCACTTTAACTCTGCAATTAGGTGTTGTCCTTTACAGAGAGGTTCTACTGTAGGAACTCTCTAGTAAGAGGACACCTCTCCCTAAAGGTCACTTTAACTCTGCAATTAGGTGTTGTCCTTTACAGGGAGTTAGTTCTACTGTAGCAACTCTCCGGTAAGAGGACACCTCTCCCTAAAGGTCACTTTAACTCTGCAATTAGGTATTGTCCTTTACAGAGAGGTTCTACTGTAGGAACTCTCTAGTAAGAGGACACCTCTCCCTAAAGGTCACTTTGACTCTGCAATTAGGTGTCCTTTACAGGGAGGTTCTACTGTAGGAACTCTCCGGTAAGAGGACACCTCTCCCTAAAGGACACTTTAACTCTACAATTAGGTGTTGTCCTTTACAGGGAGGTTCTACTGTAGGAACTCTCCGGTAAGAGGACACCTCTCCCTAAAGGACACTTTAACTCTACAATTAGGTGTTGTCCTTTACAGGGAGGTTCTACTGTAGCAACTCTCTGGTAAGAGGACACCTCTCCCTAAAGGTCACTTTGACTCTGCAATTAGGTGTCCTTTACAGGGAGGTTCTAGTGTAGGAACTCTCCGGTAAGAGGACACCTCTCCCTAAAGGTCACTTTAACTCTGCAATTAGGTGTCCTTTACAGTGAGGTACTGTACAACAGGGGTATTTATAAATTGGTTCAGATACTTAAAGAGAAAATCCACCAGATGTCTTACTTACCTCTGCTCCTGTGAAGCCTTCAGAACATTCTGCCAGAGCATCAATGTCCACAGTGTTGTCTTTCATCATATTGCGTAGATACACTGAGAAGATGGCCGCCCTGGCTATCTTGTCAGGGAGTGGGATCAACAGCTTGAAGATTCTGTAGTTCAGGAAAACCTAACACACCAACCTTTACTATCTAATTATAGATATACAGTTAAACCTGTCTATAGCACCCCCTCTAAATAGCGCCTGATTTTAAACATTAAAATGTAAACATTTTACATTAAAAGTGACCTGTCTATAGTACCCCTTCTCTATAGCACCCTATTTTGGTGAGTCCCAAGAGGGGGCGCTATAGACAGGTTTAACTGTACTTTAAAAGTGACCTTTCTATAGCACCCCCTCTCTATAGCACCCTATTTTGGTGAGTCCCAAGAGGGGGCGCTTTAGACAGGTTTAACTACATTAAAAGTGACCTTTCTATAGCACCCCCTCTAAATAGCGCCTGATTTTAAACATTAAAATGTAAACATTTTACATTAAAAGTGACCTGTCTATAGTACCCCTTCTCTATAGCACCCTATTTTGGTGAGTCCCAAGAGGGGGCGCTATAGACAGGTTTAACTGTACTTTAAAAGTGACCTTTCTATAGCACCCCCTCTCTATAGCACCCTATTTTGGTGAGTCCCAAGAGGGGGCGCTTTAGACAGGTTTAACTACATTAAAAGTGACCTTTCTATAGCACCCCCTCTCTATAGCACCCTATTTTGGTGAGTCCCAAGAGGGGGCGCTTTAGACAGGTTTAACTGTACATTAAAAGTGACCTGTCTATAGCACCCCCTCTCTATAGCACCCTATTTTGGTGAGTCCCAAGAGCTATAGACAGGTTTAACTGTACATTAAAAGTGACCTGTCTATAACACCCCCTCTCTATAGCACCCTATTTTGGTGAGTTCCAAGAGCTATAGACAGGTTTAACTGTACATTAAAAGTGACCTGTCTATAGCACCCCCTCTCTATAGCACCCTATTTTGGTGAGTCCCAAGAGCTATAGACAGGTTTAACTGTACATTAAAAGTGACCTGTCTATAGCACCCCCTCTCTATATCACCCTATTTTGGCGAGTCCCAAGAGCTATAGACAGGTTTAACTGTACATTAAAAGTGACCTGTCTATAGCACCCCCTCTCTATATCACCCTATTTTGGCGAGTCCCAAGAGGGACGCTTTAGACAGGTTTAACTGTACATTAAAAGTGACCTGTCTATAACACCCCCTCTCTATAGCACCCTATTTTGGTGAGTTCCAAGAGCTATAGACAGGTTTAACTGTACATTAAAAGTGACCTGTCTATAGCACCCCCTCTCTATAGCACCCTATTTTGGCGAGTCCCAAGAGGGGCGCTTTAGACAGGTTTAACTGTACATTAAAAGTGACCTGTCTATAGCACCCCCTCTCTATAGCACCCTATTTTGGTGAGTCCCAAGAGCTATAGACAGGTTTAACTGTACATTAAAAGTGACCTGTCTATAGCACCCCCTCTCTATATCACCCTATTTTGGCGAGTCCCAAGAGCTATAGACAGGTTTAACTGTACATTAAAAGTGACCTGTCTATAGCACCCCCTCTCTATATCACCCTATTTTGGTGAGTCCCAAGAGGGGGCGATATAGACAGGTTTAACTGTACATTAAAAGTGACCTGTCTATAGCACCCCCTCTCTATAGCACCCTATTTTGGTAAGTCCCAAGAGCTATAGACAGGTTTAACTGTACATTAAAAGTGACCTGTCTATAGCACCCCCCTCTCTATAGCACCCTATTTTGGTGAGTTCCAAGAGCTATAGACAAGTTTAACTGTACATTAAAAGTGACCTGTCTATAGCACCCCCTCTCTATAGCACCCTATTTTGGTGAGTCCCTAGAGCTATAGACAGGTTTAACTGTACATTAAAAGTGACCTGTCTATAGCACCCCCTCTCTATAGCACCCTATTTTGGTGAGTCCCAAGAGCTATAGACAGGTTTAACTGTACATTAAAAGTGACCTGTCTATAGCACCCCCTCTCTATAGCACCCTATTTTGGTGAATTCCAAGAGCTATAGACAGGTTTAACTGTACATTAAAAGTGACCTGTCTATAGCACCCCCTCTCTATAGCACCCTATTTTGGTGAGTCCCAAGAGCTATAGACAGGTTTAACTGTACATTAAAAGTGACCTGTCTATAGCACCCCCTCTCTATATCACCCTATTTTGGTGAGTCCCAAGAGCTATAGACAGGTTTAACTGTACATTAAAAGTGACCTGTCTATAGCACCCCCTCTCTATAGCACCCTATTTTGGTGAGTCCCAAGAGCTATAGACAGGTTTAACTGTACATTAAAAGTGACCTGTCTATAGCACCCCCTCTCTATATCACCCTATTTTGGTGAGTCCCAAGAGCTATAGACAGGTTTAACTGTACATTAAAAGTGACCTGTCTATAGCACCCCCTCTCTATAGCACCCTATTTTGGTGAGTTCCAAGAGCTATAGACAGGTTTAACTGTACATTAAAAGTGACCTGTCTATAACACCCCCTCTCTATAGCACCCTATTTTGGTGAGTCCCAAGAGCTATAGACAGGTTTAACTGTATTTACATGACTAATATAATGATAAGTCACATTCGGATTATAGCAGTACTTTTGTCTGAAGATGGTAACAACGCTGTTCCCGAAAGGTCACGCACTATTTATTTATTTGTGGATTTGTTCTTTTACCAGTTCTCTTTTGTCTGAAGATGGTAACAAAGCTGTCACACACTATTTATTTATTTGGATTTGGTCTTATTACCAGTACTTTTGTCTGAAGATGGTAACAACGCTGTCACGCACTATTTATTTATTTGGATTTGGTCTTATTACCAGTACTTTTGTCTGAAGATGGTAACAACGCTGTCACACACTATTTAATTTTTTGGATATGGTCTTATTACCAGTACTTTTGTCTGAAGATGGTAACAAAGCTGTCACACACTATTTATTTATTTGGATTTGGTCTTATTACCTTGTGTTTATAATGCTAACATACAACACTGATGTTTTTCCAGAAAAAAGAAGGGAGATCTACCATGAGCCACTGCTGGTTCACCCCGA